CCGGCAGCCTATCTTCCCCAAGTGTATCATTCGCTCCCCTACCCTCTTCAGGGCACAATGCTGGTATCTGGGAGCCTCACCTTCTTTTGTTCTTACTTTGCCACACCTCTGTCCATAGTCCCTTCACTAAACCCTCCTAGGTTGCTCTCTGAGTGCCCACAGCCAAACTGTGAAGTCAAGAAGATCCAGAAAGGGCATCTCAAGAACCATCTGGGGAGTTTGCCCTGTGCTTTTAGAGTGTAACAGGTACAGAGACAAGTGCAACACCTTGGTCTAGAGAAGTGTGTGAGATTTGGCTTGAGATGTCCCAGGAGCAAACTGCCTTCCACCAACAGTGGGGCAGAGACATGTGCTGTATTTTAGCCCCCAGGCTTCATTATGGAAGCTGAGTGGGTCATATTGCAAAGACCAAGACTGTTTCTACCTTAGGACAAGGCAACCCCAGCCAGGTAAGAGCTTTCCTATCCCTTATCTTCCATCCAACTCAGGAGGAGCAACAGGCAATCTGCAGAAGAAGGTACAGGCGGTTAGAACCGCAATTTGGGGCAAAAGTGATGCTGACTGCCGCCTCAGTCCACAACTCCCCAACAAGGTTCCCATCCAGAAGTGAGCTCAACGCTGGAGAAGTTGAACCCAGAAGAAAGTTCTGAATTTTGGTTACTGCTCTGGAGTGAACACTGTAACTAGTAAGATGAGACTTCTGGTGTTGGAAAGTGAACAAAAGATGTTTTTTCCCTAAGAGTGTCAAGAAAAGTTATGGAACTTCACAGGGATTTTATCCAAGGTGCAAGAAAGTATGAGCCACAGAGCAGGTCTGATGGGACCGTAGTGGAAAATATAAATACATATAAATACTTATCTTCTGCTAGCACCCTGTTGGGCTCTACTCATTCTGTGTGTTTGATAGAAGGGGCTAGAGCTGGAGATATGAATATAAATATACATCAAATAAAATCAGAAAAGAAGAAGTGTAAATAAAATAGGAAGGTTAATCAAGGGACAGCATACATAAATATAGGTTCACAGGGTCATACACTGGTAAAAACTGGACTGCAAATAGGGCTCTGAGTTTCCTGGCAGCCACAGCAAATCAATTACAAAATTGAATCTGTCCACGAAAATTAAAGCATTGTAGTTCTGCAGATGAAACAATGCCTTTCTTGGACTCGAGCTTTAAATTTTTCAGATGGCTCTTCAAACAAGGTCCACTGATTTAGTGGACAATATCCTCACCAACCAGCTACAATAAATACCATAGAGGGCTTCACCCATCAGTTTCTTACATCATCCATCAAAGGAAGTTAAGGGCAGGGCAGAGAAAATCATGTTAGTGGGAAGTTAACACAATTGGATACAAATAGGTAGCTCCCCTGATAGGTTTTTACTGTTTTGGTTGGAGCAGCCATTAGAACAGTGCTCACCTGATGAATTTCACAAAGCAGGAGGGGAGCAACGGGGCAGATGGAAGGGTCTGTGCAAGCGGCAGGGTCACCATTTTTCATCATCCACTGTCCTCGGTGCCCAGGAAGGAAAATCCATCCATCACTCGTAGCCAATAATTGGCACAAAGAGCCTAACCTGCTCGGCTGGTTGAAACAATCCCAGGCTTTCCAGAGTACCCAGAAGACTTCGTATATAAGAAGTCTGTTTTCTTTCTTTTTTTGCGGTACGCGGGCCTCTCACTGTTGTGGCCTCTCCCGTTGCGGAGCACAGGCTCCGGACGCGCAGGCTCAGCGGCCATGGCTCACGGGCCCAGCCGCTCCACGGCATGTGGGATCTTCCCGGACCGGGGCACAAACCCACGTCCCCCGCATCGGCAGGCGGACTCTCAACCACTGCGCCACCAGGGAAGCCCCTGTTTTCTTTTTGAGACAAATATTTACGTTTTTTTCTGGGCTTTGATTCACAGAACACAATTAAGAGCTCCTTCATGTTAATTCTGGCTGCAAATGGATACTGAGGCTGAATGGTGTCAGCAAACGGAATGATATTCCACCAAGATTAAATACGTGTGTCCTCAAAGACGATGTTTCAAAAGCATCGAGTCATTCTAACAAGGAATTGATTTGGATATACGAGTATACTATTATTCAAATAACTTTCAAACATAACAGAGCTTAAAGAAAAATGCCATTTTCTACCTCAGCAGAGCATGTAATGGTTTGCCGCCGCAAGTAAAGTTTAATATGTACAAAGGCTTAGTGTCTCTTCCAGCAGGCCTCCCTCTCTGAGACCACACTGGGTTATCTGGACCTCCTTTCCCCCTCTGTCTGCCATGAAGTTTTAGGAATGAATGACAGAATAGGAGAAAGTATGTCACTAGCTAGGCTGCTCCAAACTCCACTTAAAGAAAGATCAGAAGTGGTTTCTAGAAGGAAATTCCCAAACCCCACGGGCATTGCCATGGTTAGGAACCAAGGGAGAGTTAGCCAGACTGCGGGAGGGGCAGCGGGGGCCACATAAGGTCATCCAGACTCAGAGCAGCATGTGCCGAGGCCGAGAAGCTGCAGAGCCTTGAGGGCAGGGCGCTTTGGGGACTCCAAGAGTCTCCGTGTAAGTGGAGGGTCCTGGAACACCCAAAGGCCAGGAAATGAAGCTGGAGTGGTAGAGGGCACTCAGATCTCACAGGGCCCTCCTTATGTGCCCTGCAAAGAAGTTTGGGTTTTCTTTCTCCTGAACGTGACAGGAGACAGACCAGTGAAGGGTTTTGAGCAGAGGAGTTACACTGACCATCAGAAAGCCTGGCCGGCATGTCCCCACACAGAAGCCAGATGTCTAGAATACCATCTGTGGTAAAGTGTGAATACCACACTTCAGCACATCACCATCTGTACCATCTGTATCTCACACTTCAGCACATCATTCATTTGGTCAATTTGTTGACATTTATCTCAGGTGTCTGAGTTTCACCCCAGGTAAATGGTCAGATCCCAGAGGCAGAAGCCAGGTGTTCTTCTGAGTCCCCAGAGGTCCCCGGCCTCACGGCTCATGCTCCCTCAGTGTGGAGATCTCCTATCTCCTTGCGCACAAGGCCTTGGGTCACCCTCGAGCCTTGTTCCAGCATTAGAGTGGTCTGTTCCCTTCTCTGGCTCCACCAGTAAGCTGGACCTTTCTCAGGGAGCCAATGCCTTTGCTGTAATTATGAAAAGGCATTCCTCCCTCGAGGGCACCTTCCCAGGATGCACACAGCCAGGACATGTGCTTGGGCGACAGGACCCAGGCACAGCCACATCCAGCAGCCCTGTTCCTCCAAGCCTGGCCAGCGTGCCTTATCTCCCTGCCCTCAGTAACTGGCACGGTGTCATCCCAAGCCACAGCCACACACAAATATTTGGTGAAAGACTGTTCAAAATCCTTCAAGCCGGTACACATTGTCTTAAAACAAAAACAAAAAAAACTTGTGCTTTATTTGTGTTTTGGATGTGTGTGTTTATGTATACGTTTTTTAAAAAATATTTTATTTCTTTTTTTTTTAAGTTAACCATTTTTTAAATTTATTTATGTATTTTTGCTGTGTTGGGTCTTCGTTGCTGCGTGCGGGCTTTCTCTAGTTGTGGCGAGCAGGGGCTTCTCTTCATTGCGGTGCGCAGGCTTCTCATTGCGGTGGCTTCTCTTCTTGCAGAGCACGGGCTCTAGGTGTGTGGGCTTCAGTAGTTGTGGCATGTGCTCTCAGTAGTTGTGGCTCACGGGCTCTAGAACGCAGGCTCAGTAGTTGTGGCGCATGGGCTTAGTTGCTCTGCGGCATGTGGGATCTTCCCGGGCCAGGGACCGAACCCATGTCCCCGGCATTGACAGGTGGATTCTTAACCACTGCACCACCAGGGAAGTCCCTATATATACATTTTAAAAGGTCTAGGGCAATACAGAGCTACTATGAGAGGTTATTCTGGGAAAGTGAGACCGGAAGGGAGTTTTATCTGATGGTTGTTTTTTATAAGAAACCTATATAACTTTTATAATGCAATATTTTAAATAAAGAAAAATCCTTCAAAGCTCAGATCAGGCCCCAATTCCCACTGGAAACCTCCCCAGACTCTCAGATCTGTGGTCTTGTCCTATTCCAGACATGCCTTGAGCATTGCAAAGACCTCCAGCCAAGTCCATTGTCATGTGTGGTCTGATGCTGCCCATTCACCTAAGCATGAACAGAAGAATGAAAGATTTTCCTGCTTAGCTCAGAATCACAGCCCCACAGCTGAGGGTCTTTAGTGTTAAGTGCCCCTAATTATGGAGAAAGCCCCAAGGTGCTTACTAAGAAACAAGCTAGAGATCTTGTAAGCCTGACCCCACCACTGCACCCTCCTGTATACGCAGCCTGGAAAGCCAGAGGAGGTCATTGATGGGGGAGGGAGCCCTTGGAGGAAATGGCCTTGAAGAGGGATGTGAGCGCTCCTGTCCAGCCCAGCCAGGTGAAGAGGGCTCTTGGGGCACCACTCGGAAAGGTGGAGGGTGCTTTTGAAAGGGAGCCTGGCTGCCCCTCTCCAGCCAGATGTCGGCCCCAAGGCTGCCCCGGTGCAGACTGTGGCAAGACTGTTCTTGGGAGGCTTGGCTGTGGGTTGCCCAGACTTTGGGAGGGAGGGGCCACAGTCTCCTGAGGGTCACCTGGAGAGCTCTGAAGGTGGGAGGCTGAGCAGAGCAGCCCATGACAGCCCCATGATGTGACAGAGCCACAGAGTCTGGAGGGACAAGGGTGCCCCTCCCATGGTCCTAGCCAGTGCCATGGGAGGAAGTGGGCTGGCACCACCCCAGGGACGGGCTGCCAGGGCAAGGGGCTCCCCCAGGAAGAGCCTGGGTTGGGGGGCAGACGGGAGCGTCACAAGAGGTCAGGGACCTGGACCGTGGGGAGCCCCCTCCTGAGGGGCTTCAGAAAAGTCCACATATTCACCTGCAAGACAGCCAGCATGACCCTGCCTGTCCCTGGACACCATCCACGCCCAGCCCCCGCGAGTGGAGAGGGGACCACAGCTGCATGGCCCATTAAGCACAAAGGTTTTGGCCTTTGTCTTTATTTTATTTTATTTTTTTCCTCACAATAGTGACTTTATTAAATTAGTTGCTTTATAAAACATTGCAGATGTCATAATTGTTAACATAACAATTTACCAAACTGTAGTTAAATGGCGCAGTTTGCTGAACAAAACAAAGTTTTATAAAGGAAATGCCAAAACCCTGTTAAAGCTGATCCACTGCAGCCTCAGAGAACAAAGGAGATTTGTTTCTCAGACACTTAAATCAGACAAATAAAATAGGTAAGGAGTTTCCCTCCCCCATCTGAAGCACTCCATCAGTAGAATAGTCTGATAAATAGAAACTAGACAGCCTATGCACTCAAGAGATTCCACAACTTGGTAATGCAATAATGGAGAGGTTTACCTTCTTCAGCTTCCAAGTTGGAGGGTTTTGGTCATTTAATTTTTAAGTATCAAACTAGTGCTTTTCAGCCGCCGTATCTTCACTCTGAGATAAGCAGTCTTCTTCACAATGTATTTTTAATATCCTCACGCTCAATTTTAAGACAAAGCAACTTCAATACTAGGTGCACACCACACGCCCTTGCAGCAGACTGCTTTTCTTGACAAGTTACGAAGTAGTTCAAGGAGGTATGCTTAAGGCTGTATTTCTGAATGGTGCTGGTAAATACTACACAATTTTTTGTCGTGTTGCAACCTTTGTTTCCAATTTAGTGACTGCTGCTACGGAATCAGATAGCAACAACAACAACATTATTTGGTCTGTTTTTTTAAACTATGATTTAGTAGCAATGGAGGTTCCCAATTTTAACCCCTTGGCAGCAAGATCCAAGTTCCCTCATCTGCACATTAGCACCTAAGTGTCAAGGGGTTAATAACCAGCACAAAAGATACTGCACTTCTGATTGTAGCATTTGGCAGAACTGAAAGGAAAGGAAGTTGTGCTGCATGTTGAAGGGATTGTGGGCAACAGAAAGAAGACACCAGGAGAAGATAAAACGTCACGTGAAGTCTTCAAAATCTTGAACATACCCTCCATCATAACCACCATGATCTGCCAGATGATCTTTCATGGTAGCCTTTAATCCCCCTCCGGGAACCACGCCTTTCTTCTTCCTTTTGGCTTTGCTTTGCTTTTCTTGCTTCGGTTTTTCACTGCAAAGTACAGTCAACGAACCGGTAATCTTTTTCAAGTCATCAATTTCCAGTGAAATACACACATCTCGAACTAAGGCTTCCAAAACACTGGTATAATATAGTGATTTTTCATATTGTGTAATTTTTTTAGTAACTTTCCAAACTCTGTGAAGGCATCCCTTGAAGATGGGTTCATAGCATCTCTTCCATAAACTGTATTATTAACACCAAAAGTTTCTTTCGCTAATTCGAGGTCTGACTCTTCCTGTAATTTCTTTAGCCGCGGTTTATCTGTCTGGTGTTAGCACTTTAGGTTCTTCAGGTTCTTCTAACCTCCTTTTAATTTCTTCTTGCCTTTTCTTCTGCTGCCGTCCTTTCTCTTTTATCTTCTCTGCTGTTTTTTTCCTTTCTGAAATTTTTACTTCTGGTTTTACTTCTGCTGCTGCTTTTTTTTCGTCATCATCATCATCCCAGTTATCCTTGACGTCCTCGTCGTCACCTTCCCAGCGGTCCCTGCCGGCGGTGCCGCCGCCCCCCACCTTCCGCACCGGGTCTTCCACGGAGAACCTGTCCGCGTCCCAGGAGTCGGAGTCCCCCGCCGCTGCCGCCGCCGTCTCGAGCCGGGTGTAAGCGCGTCTGGCCCTTGTCTTTAAGTCCCCCTCCTCCTGCCCACCCCAGAAGAGCTGAAGATGAAGAAAGAATAAAAGAAGACCTCAGTCACAGGCCACAGCTGAGCTGGGGGAGGAGAGGCTTTGGATGGGAGAGAAGCTGAAGTCGGGATTTAACCAGAAGGACTTGCTGCTGCGTGAATGTGAGTCTTGATTGTCAGGATGACAATTTCTATAGTTAAAGGGACCATAAAATCGCGGGGTCTGCAGGAACTCTTGTCAAGAGGTGGGGAAGGGAAATACAATAGAGCAGGTTTAAAGGCTGTGGTTAGAAAAAAAAATAAATTTTTGTTTCGTACCCCAGAGAGTTTGGCTGAGATTTCAGTTACAGGTACGTATGTGTATCCCCAACAAGACACGATCTCTTGGTAGGAAAGGATTTGTAGCCTGTGTCTCTGGCATCACCTTGTCCAGGATGGGGAGACTATGAAACGCCTAAGAAAACTGTGTTGATCAGGGGCTGGTGATTGGATCCGGCAAAACTCACAACCCAGATAACCTCCCTCTGTTTGGATACCCTGACCTCAGTGAAACAATATTTAACTTTTTTTTTCTTTTTTGTGGTACGCGGGCCTCTCACTGTTGTGGCCTCTCCCGTTGCGGAGCACAGGCTCCGGACACGCAGGCTCAGCGGCCATGGCTCATGGGCCCAGCCGCTCCGCGGCATATGGGATCTTCCCGGACCGGGGCACGAACTCGCGTCCCCTGCATCGGCAGGCGGACCCTCAACCACTGCGCCACCAGGGAAGCGCAATATTTAACATTTTTAACTAGAAGAGCCTTTCCTATGGTGATGTGCATCCCAACTCTCCTAGTGCGGAATGAAATATGCAATTTTTTCAAACTTATCGACCCACGACATTCCTTTAATAAGTTCTCATAAAACAGCTGAGGAAGTTTAGAATAAATACTACGCATCACTGACCCAGCATCTGCCAGAGATGGCATCTCCAAGCCCCCAGACCCTACCTATGGGACCCTCCTTTCTCCTGTCATTCAGTTATTCCAGAAACACTAGCGTGTGTAGTCTGTGGCAATGTACTAGGTACTGGATATATAGCAGAGGATAAGGCAGACGCTACTATTTTCCTCTGGAGCTTATGCTCTCATGTGGGAGAGCGATCATGGGCATGAACAATGGGTGGGAATGGATACATAAGCAGTGAGGAAGCGGGAAGCTATAGAAGCCCTTGACAGGATGACCTGATCCAGTCAGGGGTGTGGGGGAAGGTGTCCCTGAAGAAAGGACGTTCAAACTGAGAACCGGAGGATGAATATAAGTGAAGAGAGAGAACTGGAGGGAAGAATTCCAGGCTGGAGCAGCAGCATGCACAGAAGCAAGAAAAAGCTTGGCTACTTTCTCAACCATCCTTAAATCCAGAGGCACCAGACACTCTGGAGGAAAAAAATACAAAAAAGGAAAACTGCACTTCAGATGTTTCTTGAAAGTTAAAATATACATCAGCAATCTATTTTGCAGGAATCACTAAGAGTTTTCCATATTCTCCTTCCACGCAGAGTCTATTGACTTTACTTCCCAGCTCCTTTGCTGCCAGTCTGGGTATCTAATGTCTCCTTGGGTGAGGAGGCACTGATGGATGTGCCACAGTTTTCCTTTATTGCGTGGTGCAATTTATCATAATGCATTTTATAAATTAGTATTCTTAAATTCTCATCATATATCTGTATCTTTTGATTTATATAATACAGATTTGATTTATGGATCACTGCAGTAATTTATAGCTCAGATAACTAATTTGTTGACCCAGCACCAAAATGTATAAGTCACCTAGCACTTTTCTCCATGACACTGATGGGTCCTACATGACTTGCGTGATTTATATTGGCAGGGGACTAATTCAGGGCATGGAAATCCCCAGCTTTCGATCACTCTGAGGATCATTCTTCTCCTCAAAGTCCTCAAAAGAGGATGGTCAAATGCCCTTGAACCCACACACCCCATACCCAGGAATTTACTCTAAGGAAAATAAGTAGCCTAGAAGGAAGGAATGGCTATGAGCATGCCTCTTATAGTGAAATTTAAATGGAATTTAAATTTAAATGGAAAGTGTTGGAAATAATATGTCCAGTAATAGGAATTATTTTGGCAAAGTATGAGTCCTCAACTAAATGTATATAATGTTAGGCTGTGAATAAAAATGATTCCCAGATTCAGTGGCCCTCAACGAGGGGTGATTTTACCTCCCAGGGAACTTTTGGCAAAGTGGAGACATTTTTGATTGCCACAACTAGGGGGTTGGGGTCTACTGGAATCTAGTAATTGTGGAGTTCAGCGGTGCTGCTAAGCCACCCACAATGCACAGGACAGCTCCCCACAAACAAATCTGGTGCAAAATTTCAATAGTGCCAAGGCTGAGAAAACTTGCCATAATACATGCAACATAAACAGGGTGTTTTACTGATATAAGAGAATGACCAGAACACAAAATTGTACCCGTGTTATAATTTCAGCTATAAAAACTGTAAATGCCTATGCACCAGGACCACAGAGGGACAAGATAAAAGGAAGGCAGATGTATTGTTACAAAAGGGAAACTGGGCAATTATTTAAATTTTATTTTTGTGAATTAGTTTTTAAAGAAATAAAAATGGGAAAAGCACTTTATTACAAATTAATAATATTAGAGAGGAAGGAGTTACATGAGATGTGAGAGGAAGAGAAATAAAAAATGAAGAACTCAAACACAAAACAGCTGTTTTGGCAAATATTCTGATTGAAATTCAGAATCCTTATTAGGGATGTTTAAACCAAAACACAGCCCCTCACTATGAAATGACCCACTTTACTTCTGGTAATGCTCCTTCTGGGATAGTAATATAGCCACACCAGTTTTCTTGTGCTTAGTATTGGCACGGCATATATTTTCCTTCCTTTTACTTTAACCTCCTTGTGTCTTTGTATTTCAAGTGCATATCTTTTAAACAGCATAGATTTAGGCCTTGCTTTCTTATCTGGTCTGAGAATCTCTTGCCTTTTAAGCAGCATATTTAGTCCATTTACATTTAATGTAATTCTTATTTTTTTACTTATCTACTCTGTTCTCTCTTCCTCTTTTCCTTCTTTCATTTGGGGTTAATCAAGCATTTTTCAGTTCTACATTCCATTCATCAGCTATTTAGTTATAACTCTTTTTGTTTATGTTTTGTGGTTTCTCTCATAATTAAAATATATATCCTTATCACATTCTGTCTTTACAATGAAGAAACTTACAAAGTGTAATTCTCTTTACACCCCCTCCTGACTTTGTACTCTTGTTGTTGTATATTTCACTTCTACATATATTTTAAATGCCACAATACATTTGTCATCATTTTTGCTTTAAACAGTCAGTTGGCTTTAAGTAACATAGCAAATAGAGGAAAAACAGTATGTGCTATTTATGATTTCCAGGGTTCTTCTTTCCTCCTTAAAGATTCACATTTTCACCTGGTATCATTTCCCTTCCACATGAAACTTTCTTAGCATTTATTGTAGTGCAGGTCTGCTGGCAACAAATTTCCACAGGTTTTATCTGAAAATGGTTTGTTTCACCTTCTTTTTTTTTTTTAGCCAATTTTTCATTATAAAAGCTTTCAAACATACAGGAAAGTCGAAAAAATGTATACCATGTATTGACTACCTAGATTCTACAATTGACTTTTGATTATAATTGTTTTATTATATATCTACCATCTATCCAACTCTCTATCCATCATTTACCTTATTTTTTATGCAAGTAAGTTGCAGAAATCAGTAAACTTCACCCTAAATATTTTAGCATGTGTACCATAATTAAAGTGAATATTAATTTACTTTTTTCTTTTTAGGTAAACTTACATACAATGAAACTCACAAATCTTAAGTGTACCATTTGATGAATCTGACATGCATACACACATTCAACCCAAATCTCTTTAAAGATACATAATATAACTATCACCCAAGAAAATCCCCTCATGCCCCTTCCAGTTAAATCCCTGCCCTCTTCCCACTAAGGCAACAGTTGCTGATTTTTTCCACCATAGATTCAGTTCAGTACTTTAGTACTTCATACAAGTGAATTTGATAGTTAGCTAGCTAGATGGATATAGATAGATAGATATAGATATAGAAAATAAAGATTCACAGTATGCATTCTTTTTTGATGCTTATTCTGGATGAATTTAAGGATTCATCCGTATTGTTCCATGTATCAATGATTTATTTATTTTATTTTTGAATAGTGATTAAGCATTTTTATGTGATTTCTATTTGTGTTCTCTGATTTTGTTCCTCTCCTGCTCCTTCCCTGCTTTCTTTTGGATTAATTTAATAATTTTTAGAATTCTTCTTTGGCTTTTCAACTATGTCTCTTTCAATCATATTTTTTAGAGGTTGTTGTAGGGATTATGATATACGTCCTTAATTTTTCAATCTACTTAAAGTTAGAATTGTACTATTCCACCTAAAAATGTAGAAACCTTGCAACAATACAGGGTAGGCCCTGCCTCTCATTCCCTTTCCTATCTGATAAAGCCACTGATACAGGAAACCCACAATCAAATCTTGCCCTGTGCTATCATCATGACATGATTTTTCCTTCTTACTTGGAAATTGATGGAATTAATAGGTTGGCTACTTTTTATTACTCTTAAGCAAAACTCATCAAAGATCTGTGTGCTCATTCCCAGGAGACTAACAAGGCAAAGGCAACACAAGAAAGGAGCATTTAATGTTAGTGAAGTTCATGCAAGCCATCCTGCTTTGACAGGTGTCAAAGGAAGTGACCCAGGAAAGCGGTAAGGAGAGTGCCAACCCCTCCCAGCTTTGAGAGGTTGCCCAGGAGGGCTGGCAGAGTCTCAGAGTGAATAGCAGGCACCCACTCCCCTCCCCACCCTGAGGGCCAATTACAATGATAGCAAACCCTTACCAGCACTTACGGCATGCCAGGCACTGTCATAAGTACTTTAGCTCATTGATCCCACCCACAACCCTATGAGGTTGGTATAAATGTTAAGTATCTCTATTTTACAGATAAAAAAAATGTTTGTTCTCTACATCTGTGTCTCTATTTCTGCCCTGCAAACTGGTTCATCTGTACCATTTTTCTAGGTTCCACATATATGCATTAATATACGATATTGGGAGATTGGGATTGACATATATACACTAATATGTATAAAATGGATAACTAATAAAAACCTGCTGTAT